GACTCCAATGGATGTAACCATTTTCACCTGATTTCTGTTATAAGGGACTCCAATGGATGTAACCATTTTCACCTGATTTTGGTTATAAGCAATGCTGGACCCAGTTTCCAGCAGATGAAGCTCCCCACCAATAGACTGGAGTAGTCCACCCAGAGGCCTCTATCCTGTTGGTTCTCGTAACGCCACGCAGGCGTCCACAGGACGTTAAAAAAGAAAAAGGAGAAAAGAAAGAGGTTTCGTTGCAGCTTTACCGGGTTCCCATAGTTTGCCAGCAAAAATAAAAATACAGCATTTTGCCAAGTTTCACAGCAAAGGACCCCTAGGCCTCTGGCCTCAGGTACTCAGCGACTCAGCGTTCTGGCCTCAGGTACTCCCGTCGAGGCATCTCAGCCGTGGCACACAGCCACGCGTTTGAGATGCCTTTTTTTTTTTTTTTTTTTCCCCCCCTTAATGCTGGACGTGGGCGAAGCGTCTCTGGCGTGGCCACGCCCGAGATGCCTCGGCCATGACCACGGAAAAAAAAAAAAAAAAAGTGGCCGAGGCATCTCGTGCGTGGCATGGGCACACCCACGCCCGAGATGCCTCAGCCACGCCCGCGGGAAAAAAAAAACAAGATGCATCCCTGAGTACCTGAGTACCTGAGTACCTGAGTACCTGAGTACCTGAGGCCAGAGGCCTGGGGGTCCTTTGCTGTGAAACTTGGCATAAAGCTGTATTTTTATTTTTGCTGGCAAACTATGGGAACCCGGTAAAGCTGCAATGAAACCTCTATTTAGTATTTTTGCAAACTTTCGAACGGACAACATTTTTGCTGCTATTTTTGCAATTAACCCTTTCTGATATGTCGGCAGCGGGGTGGGTCCCGCTCATTGTAGAGGCCATAACTGGCCGCCCGGAGGCGATTCTTTCGGATGAGGTTATTTTTCCAAATGGGACTACAGCTATGAAAGGTAGTGGTGGTTTAAAGGGTAACCCTGAATAGTTCTAAGTTCTAAGCTTTCTCTATACTCTAAGACTTCAGCATCCGGCGATGGAAACTCGGATGGGCTTGCCTAATGTCTAATGTGTCTTGCCTAATGTCTAATGTGTCTTGCAGAGAAAAAGGTGCCACAATGATATAATATATGTTTGATTCACCCGTGACCCGTTGGTTAGCCACTGGTTACACTGCTTAGCCTTCCAGCGTATTTGGTCCATATTTGGGAAGGGTGCGTTATGGTAAGGTATGGTTGATTTACCTGTTGATTAGCCTCTGGTTAGCCTTTAGGCGTATGTGGTACATATTTTCAAATGGTATTATGATCAGGTAGATACATGCAGGGCCTTCAAGTTGTAGATGGGCTACAACAGGCATGGCCCTCTTCGCTCGAATAGAACGCACCGTTACGCACGGTTATTATACCTGTATCTTGACTGGATGGTGGTCCAAGTACGGCTGTAAATACCATGCATTCCCTTAGATGGGTAGTACTTGGGACTCATTGGGAGGGCTTGTTGGGAGGTGTTTCAACAATGTGGAGTGTGCCTGGTTTGCGTAGCGTGGTTGCCATTGACAGTGCGATGTTTGCATTGCTACACCGGGTCATTATTTTGCTGTATGTAGTCTGAACATTGCACCAAAGAAATCTATAGTGGCAAGGCGTTCTGTTCAGGTGAAGACCGGAGTTGTGGGAGTTAAATTCCGCATTAAATTTGCAGAATTGATATCTGCATGTCATGTGATTGTAGTTTGCGAATCTGTGTCGGTTTGTGTGCTGCAAGTGGTTTTAGAACTTTAGGTTCAAGGATTGGAACCCTGGTCGTGCCGGGTTTCTTGGGTTTAAGGTGACCTTTTTTTTGACTCTGTTCTTTTTCTGCAGGAGCAAGGCTCCACCGCTGTGAACTGGGCCTTAGACCTGCTGGCTTCTAATCCGGCTCCGCTTCATAGGTTGACGTACTCCATTGGGAAGTGGGCCCGTCGTAAATAAATACGTTAAAATAACTAAAGTTAATTACACCTTTCCTTACAGAAAACAAACAAAAAACGGGAGCCTCAGGAAGTAAATGTTAACGACCTTGTATGATATTATATGATACTAGAAGAAACTCACCAATCAAAGACACCACCACCACCACCACCACCACCACCAACAACAACAACAACAACAACAACAACAACAACAACCAACGACGACGACGACGATGATGACGATGACGACGACGACGACGACGATGACGACGACGATGACAACAAAAGCAACAACCAGAACAACAACAACAAGAAGGAAAACAGCAGCAGCTGCAGCAGCAGCAGCAACAAGAACAACAACAGCAACAGCAACAGCACCAACAACATCAGCAGCAGCAAGAAGAAGAAGAAGAAGAAGAAGAAGAAGAAGAAGAAGAAGAAGAAGAAGAAGAAGAAGAAGAAGAAGAAGAAGAAGAAAAGGAAGAAGAAGTAGTTTATGTGAACCTGGATGTGAGGAAGAAGGGCATATGAGGCAGCATATCCCCACTTTCTGCCAATAGAGGGCAGGACAGGTATACTTGCTACGATACTTCTCCCAACGGGTATTGAATTTTGTGCAATAAATCAGCACAGAAACTTTGTGAAAACGGTAATTCTGCAAGTTTGGCGGTGTATTTGCCCCAATACAGGGGAGGACTGGTATAGTAGGGGGTATACTTGCTACGATACTTCTCCCAACCAGTATTTCTGCAGTTTCTTTTTCTTTCTTTCTTTTCCCCTACTCGTACTAGTCTCATAGTATGGCTGCTTGGAGCCTTTGACGGAAAATATGGTTAAACTGAGAATAAGCCAGCAAGCCCAGCAAGGTCCATACAGTGCGTCTATGTATGGAAGACATCTGAGCACAGAAGTGCGCATATACCGTGGCACCGTATCTAGACTGAATGTTGCCCCAAATGCAGCATATAACCGACTGCCTTCAGAGTAACTGTTTCTGACTCAATCTGGGAAATAGCTGTGGACTTGTGGTCATCTACTTTCGGGTTCATGACCATAGTACAATGTGGATATGCCTAATTGCTACCGACTGCTCCAAATGGTGATAATGATGGGTACTCTTCTGAAGGGCGAGAAGTTGGTAGTGCTCTCTCTCTCTCTCTCTCTCTCTCTCTCTCTCTCTCTCTCTCTCTCTCTCTCTCTCTCTCTCTCTCTCTCTCTCTCAACACACAGGTTCCTTTCAGAGTGGAGACCTCGTGACTGTTTTGAAGTGCAACAAAAGAATTCAGGTCCTTTCAGGGGAGGCGACTATTGATTGCCTGTCTTCCCTTTGTTGGGGACACGCTCACGTGCACGCACACACACGCACACACGCACACACGCACCCACGCACCCACGCACCCACGAGAGTGCAGTGAAACAGACCGGCAAAGTCATGCCCTTTTGTGGAGCTGAGTATAGCGAACATGACAACAGACACACAGACACATACACATACACATACACATACACATACACATACACATAGTATCTCTCTCTCTCTCTCACACACACACACACACACACACACACACACACACAC